CTAAAAAGGTCACCTAGAATTTTCGGGAGCCTTTTTTCTGGCTAAAATTTTCGAAAAGGTAAGTTTTGATCCCCATAATTTTCGGATCACTTGACTTTCAGCTAGGAAATCCGAACAGATGAAAAATTTTTAGGGGATGAAAATATGCCTATATCTACCGTTTAAATACTAAAATACGTTTAACAATTCTATGTTTAAGTGGTTTTGAACTATATTCTCGTTGGGTGCCCCTGTGTAAGTACTGCAATCTTGCTCTTATGCACTGTCTATTCGACGTTTTTCCTCTGTTTGTAGCTTTGTTTTCCATTTTTGTTGTCTGAATCTAGATTCTGCTGCTTTTCGTTGAATTTTGCCTCGCTAGTTTTCTACTTTTCAGAAAAAGTTGTTTTCAACGATTGCATTTAGTGTTCAATCTTGAATAAAAGAACATGAACAACTTTTCCAGCAGTCGCCGTTTTTGTTTCTTTGTTTGTATAATTGTTTAGTTACCCACATCGTCTTCTTTTATTCGAATTCACTTCTAAACCCTAAGATTGGTATGTGTAATTAGCTCTTTTTATAAAGCCTTTGTGCAGTTCTTATCCCGCTCGATTGAATTAATCTTAAAGTAAATATTCAGCCGAAGAAAATCTTCACTGTATTTTCTTTCCTGTGGCTTTTAAGTTCGTCAGTTCCTTTATCCCTGTTTGACACTCAGATTATGAATTGTCTACCAAGATACAAAAACCTTTCTTTATTCTAAAGAGAGCTTGATTGTGGTAATAAAAATTACAAGGTAAAAATAATGTTGTAATGTTTTGTTTTGGTTTGCAATCGATCGCACGCTTTGAATAACATCAAAACGCACGCGCCCTTCTTCAACACGCATAGGTTGGAGGCTGAAGTAAAATTTTCCTGAAACTTTTAAGTCTCCGTAGGAAAAAATAAAAATGTTATTCACCGGCCTAGGTCGGTCCGTTTACGGCCTCGGGCGGTACTCAAGACCTCGTGCACAGTTTCTCCCTATACGGACCTCCCAGCCGGTGAATAACATTTATGTATTATGTGACTGTATTATAATTGATTTAATGTATTTTCTAAATTTTCGGTTTTATTGAAATTTTGGATTTTTAGCTTAAATTTTTCTCTTTTCGTGTAATATTAGAATATTTTTGAGAAATTTTGAAGAATTTGTAAAATTCTAAAAGATTCGGAAAAGCTCTGTAGGGAAGAATTAATCAAAATATAGTTTTGTATTGCTTTGCATCAGTTTGCGCACCAAGAATCTCAGTGAACTGGAACCAAAGCAGTTACCGTGTAGTGACATGCGAGTTGGAACTCATTTATTCATTAAAATAAATCAACTAATGGCCGCTTTTTTAACTTTAGTCAACCAATAGTAATAATAATGATAATAATAACTTACAATAATAATAATTAATCAATCAATCAATAAAAGGTTTTCCCTGCAATCATATCCTCATTCTACTTTCCGCTATTGAGTCTCTAATTAATTCGAAAATTTCATCCATCAATAGTCAGGCGACTTTTTGTTTCTTTCTGTATTTGTCAGGATGCAAAAGTTGACCGATCTTTTGTCAAGAACTTAGAAGTTCTCATAACTAGTGATACTGAAGGTTTCTTGGACCTTTACCCTTATAAATCAACTTGTTGTATAGATGATTGAGATAAATAGATCATAGGTATTGGAGTTTCTTGTCCTCTGTAAAACTTGGATATACTGGATAGGGATTTTCGGTGCCTTCAATCAAGAATGTGGTTGAAAAATTTAATCTGAACATGGTCTTATCTGGCCCGAAATGGCTTCAAATGACAAGGCCTATTGTAGAATCACCCAAAAACCACTGGACCATCTTCAATTAAACCAAATAAACCATAACTGAACAGTTAATAGGTGATATATCCTACGGACTACCTTGCTCTTCATTTGCGAATTAGCGACAGCTAGTACTTTTTGCTAGAGTGCTTCCCCTTTCTGCACTGTACGCGCGTTCGTTGGAGCACATTAAACACGCTATTTTCCCGTGTACTTAATTCTATATCCGATCTGCTCGCGTCCTTCTTATACTACTAAGATTCATGCGGCAGAATGTGGGCATTTTTCTTATCTTAAGTTGTTTGGATTTTCTTACGAGACGTTACTTTGTAATTTAGTACAGCCTTTTGGACTTTTTTTTGCTCAACACCTTTAAGAGTGTGTGGCCTCGATCATGAGAAAGACCAAATTATTTGTCAAGTATTTGTTACTGTTGATCACGCAGGAAGCCGAATATCTTTTAAAGGAGTATTAACCCCACCTCATGGTTCAAGTTTTCAAATGCTTTATTATAGTGTTATTGTTATTTTTTGAAATTTAACTCACGTATAATGAATACGGCTAAAATGAAAATAATTGGGTTTGAAATTCAAGAGTTTCTTCGGAAAAATAAATATAAGTAAAAAAAATGAAAGAATATCATTATATCATTAGAAATTCCATTAACAGATGAATTTTTTAATATTCCACACGTTCTTTGACATAACTGATTTTAAAAACCACCAGGAGTGTAACCTGCACGGTATTTGTGGTACGAAAACTGTATTGGCCTCTCACACACAAGTGTACGTTGGTCTGGGGAAGCAAACCAACCGAAGGTGAACAGCAATAAATAATTACCTTCAACTGTCATTGAAGCAAGCATTAGGAGAACGATCCCCAGGTACATATAATTCACGGAAAGCTTCTTAAATCGCATCATTTTCCTACGCTTTGGAGAACAGTCTTAATAGCCCGAGAATCAATTTGAAACCACCTTGTAGTCAAGACGCAGCTGAATTGATAAATGAACCTCTGAATCATTAGTTTAACGAAAATTTTCCTGTTTCAATTAAATATTTGCCGAAGGGGTAATTAGTATTTGGTCCTCTATCACTCGATTGATCACATTAAGATATATTAATCACATTAAAAGGAATTTATGTATCAAAAATTAAATTAATATAGAATTTCTACTTTACTTCCGTGGAATAATTTAAAGAAATGACAAAAAAAGTTCAAATCAATTTTAGTCATCTCGGATGGTCAAATAATCAATTCAGTGTTCATTTGAATTGATGTATAATCGTTCCCATAGCGAATCTTTGTTTACATTCTGTGCCTCATTAACAGTATGCTTATCATTATCTGATGAAATTAACAAAACCTCAGAATATGGAAGGAGCATAACAAGTTCAGTGATCTCTGAAAATTTGAGCCTGGTGTACCGAATGGTTTCAGTCAGACTTTTTTCCAAGAATGTGTCAAGTGGCTCATTGATTTTTTTGCCACCCAGCAAATTTTGCAGTTTTTGATGGCTGATACTTCCTTTAATACTGCTTGCATATACTGCTTGCAAAGAGCTGAAAATTGCACAAATTACTCATGACAAGTTAATCATGCAACTCTTTCATCTTAAGGTATCTTTTGAATCTAGTTCGTTTATACGGCCACGGTTTCTATTAGATTAGTCGTACGATAATGGTAAAAAATGTAGTAAAAACCGTCAGCAACGATTCGCCTACAGTAACTGTATGTGACCATATTCAAACCTTATAAACAAACGCCGCTATGAAACGATGATGCATAACGAGGGAAAAGGCCAAGAGAAACTGGTACAGAGTAGTCTATGTTCTTAGTTCCACAACCTTGCCACCCTGAACGCAACAGATGAATCAACAACTTCCGTCGGTTGGGTAATTTGAAAATTATATTTAGGAGGCATTAGCGTCCGTTTAATCGACACGGCTTACGCCGATTCGATTTCGTGGCAAATAAGCGATCATACACAGGTAATAATTAAAACGAATATTTAGTAAACAATATGCTGTCTCTCACTGGACTGTTCACACGCTACTGTAGTGGGATACCATGCATTTACGAATAAATATAGGTCATAGAATAATAAGGGTTTTTTCTCCCCATAGTGAAAAGAAAGAAAGTGAAACAGGCAATAATAAAGTTAAAGTTTAATTTATTTCATAATAATAAACAATGAACAATACAGCCCAAAACATTTTTAATTTGCATTTTCGATTTTCTTTAAATTTTTCTTTATGGACTAAAACCATCCAAAACTAAAATTCACCCAAAGGTAATGCTTTGATTTTATTGATAAGAATCACTTTATATTATTTTAAATTAATTAAATTTTGGGTTTTGATAGCAGCAAGACTTGCTTTTTAATTCTTCTCCCCTGCCGCAACCACTGCATAACCAAAAGGTTTGTCACGTAACTTTTTGAAAGCCATCAGCGCAGTTCCCGCTAAACAGGCGACACAGATCACAAACAGGGTCATCGTGATTGTAGGACTGGAACCTAAAAAAATGATATTTCGTTTTAGACACGTTGAGACCGGGGAAGTCTGAAATTACAACTAACTAGGCAAATAATATTTTTATTGTTTGTTTTGAATTTTCTCTAACTTAATATCGCACTCCAGTTGTTGAAAAGGTGGATAGTGCTATCTATCTGATAAATCTCTATCCAATAGGTAGGTATTACTAGGGCAACCAATTGCCTTATCCACTGCAAAGAGATTGTCCGGAGGATAGCGCTATCCACCTTTTTAAAAAAACTGGGGCCAGATCGAGAAACTGAAACTATTTCAAGTGCGAGTTGATTGTGTTTCATTTGATGTCCAGAGATTTTAATCTAATGCAATTCCTCGCGCTTTTTTGTACCACTTCTGGGTGATTCAAATGTTTTTGACTGTTTGTTTTTGTTTCTTAATCTTTGTGTACTTGTTCTGCTGATCAGTATAAATGTCGATTATGATTATAGACCTTCCCTACTCCCTGCTTCATCGAGGACACAATAAATAATAACGAGGGTTGCATGGAAGGACAATTTCCTTCCAATCACTATTAATATTTTTTTCCCCCAAGCCTAGACTGGTGACTTCAGTGCTCACAGAAATACGGGATGGACTATTGGGATAGGGGGAAGAGACTGAGGGGGAAGGGACTCAAAGTTTTTATCTGGGGAGGTCTAAGGTTCAACCCCTTCCTCTTTTGTCTACCATTTTAACACGAAATACAACTTTCATTAAAAATGGTACCCTTTCATAAACTAACCAAAGAACGCTGCATTCCATTTCTTAAAGGCCCACGGCAGAATAAAAAGAGTTTACAAAAATATATTAATATATACGGGAGAGCCGGCGTAATAACATACCAAGCCTTTCGAGGCCAGTGCTCTGTCTTTCCTCACTCCTTATACGTTGCAGATGGATTGGACCCTTGGCCAGGGAGTAGACGTCATTTGCACTGGGGCTCACATCACGTCTTAGCCGGCCAGCTGCTGGACAACTTCTAGCGCATTTTGAACCGGCATCTGTAGCATTGCAGACAATCACGTGACAATGGACAAAAACAAAGGGATGATCCGCAATGAACTTGAAGGCTTCCAGACTAAACCGCTGAACACTGACTGAAGGCAGAAGATAATACTGTACAGTTGGGTCAATCGGGCATCTATAAGGAAAGAATCCGAAAATGTTAATCTATAATTTCTATAATATTCAACTAATAAGCTAATTAGTAATTACTAAATCTACTAATTACTCAACATCTAAAATACTGGTTTTACGTGAATACACCGATTTCGATATGTCGTAATACATACTCAACTCCAAGGCTTGTGGGAATAGCTAGAAATAATGTATTAAGGCACGGATCTAGAATAAATACTGACCGTTACTCTAAACAAGCGTGGCATGCGTACGCCTCAAGCGGGGTTCGGGGGCGGGCTCCCCCAGGAAATGTTTTGGAGATTTACTCCCTAAAGTCATCTCTCCTGGATTCCTGAGTCATTCAGTCAGGATATTGGCCAGATTTTAACTTGGAATTTTTTTTTCTTAATGAAAAATTATTTATCCATGAAAACTCTGACCGATTTTCGTAAAACGGCGGAAACCGGTGTGGATCCGCGCCTGGTATTATTCACCCCTCGACCTCAAGGTGATTGGTTTCGTTTTTAATATTACCTTAAACCTCGGATTTTTTGAATTTCTGCACACAATTGTTTGCAGTGCAAACTACTGGTCACAGTTTTGGGTTTTACGTTGTATCAGAACCGAATAGTCCATTTTACAGTTACGGATGCAAACGAGGCTGGAGTCGACCTTGTTTTGATACAACCCTTCCGCTTTATCATGTTAATCATGCTAACTAGTATTTTTTAAGCAAAATTTCCATAAGAAAAGGAAAGAGGTTTGTATCCAAACAAGGTCAATCTCAGCCTCACGTCCAGTAAAAGGCTAGTATATTGAGCCCACAACTGTAAAATGGTCTGTTGATTGCCGAGAATGTAGAAAAAATGATGTTCTCGAAATCTCATATATTTCCAAACGTTGTGTGAAGAAAAAAAAGGCTTTTATACTCTCAATTTTGGCATCCAGCTGTTGCAAAAACGAAAAATACAGAAGCAAAAAAGGCATAGTCACCAGCCTTGAGTCATAGACGAATCTTTTGTCGTCTTGAAAAGCTGTGATCTTATCCTCTTTTTAAGATCAGTGATTATGTAACAAATGATTGACGAAGTTTTACCCTAATACCGTATTAAATTCTGAAAATAAGCCCCTCCAGGTATAAGCCCCTCCAAATATAAGCCCCCCAAACCGGTAACGCAAAAAACCCTCCGTTAAATCGCCCCTCCAAATATAAGCCCCCCCGAGGGCTTGTACTTGGAAAATTGCCCTCAAATACAAAGTAAAACTAAGCAAAAACGGTAAATTTACTTCCAACTACAAGGCTAGCCCAATCAAGTTTGGAACGCAAATTTCCCTCCGTAGATAAGCCCCTCCAAAAATAAGCCCCTCAAAAAGGGCCTTTGAAAAATATAAGCCCCGGGGCTTATTTTCGGAATTTTACGGTATGTGCTTCTGCACTTCAAAATTAAATTTCTACATTGTACTTTCACAATGCAGTTGTTTAGTATTAAGTGATAGTGAATGAAGGGGTGAAATTCGCAGTTTAAGGAGACATTAATCAGTGCCGTTTTTCGAGGTCTCTTTTCGCTAGGAAGTAACACAACAATCACTAACCCTTCTTTGATGAACTCATACTTCAAGGAATTATCGCGATCTTGGGTGGGAGTGGCATAACAGCGCTCTGCTCTGATTGACAGTTGCTTGTCATGCGTTGTGGCGGACACCTCAAAAAAGAGAAGCTTGCGCAGAACCACAGCCACAGGAAAGTCGTTTCTCAAGTACGGACTCTCGAATGTCTTGTCAGGAAACATATCTAGAGAGAGCGTAAAGTTTCCTTTCATTTTGTCGCTAAAAACAAGCTTCTTATCACTCGGCTTCCAACCAAATGAGGACACCACGCCGTATTTAGAGTAGAAACATTGGAATTTTATTTCGATTTCACGAACTCGGGTCACGACACCTTGAGCGGCCACAGGAATTTCAAAAACTGCGTTGGAATAGACGATAGCTGTGGGCGTGTGCCTGCTTGTTGTGTTACAGCCAGTCAGCGGTGTTGTGAGTGAGAAGTGAGCGTTCGTCTCTGTCGCTTTGCAACTGGTGTCCAGGAGTCGAAGATGCTTACGGTCCATACCAAGAAGGAGGGACTTCGGTATTGTGATGGTCATATTTTCACTCTTGCACTGTACCATAACGCCTGGAGCTTGAATGGAGATAAAGAGAAAAGTAATTTTCGACAGAAAGCAAAAAAAAAATGGAGGGCTCAAGGTCATTGCATTTCATGGCAATTTATTCATTTCAATAAAACCATGATAGCATGCACTTGTTGACCGAAACGTCCTCTTGCGACAAATTTGCGTAAATAAAGACGACTGATATTCTAGCTTCTTTCGTGGACTTTTTTTTAGTTCATCAGCAGGCGATCGTTTTTATGAAAATCGTAGCTTCTTTTCTAAAGTTTTACGGTTTGAAATATTTTAGACCGTTTTGTGGCCCTTTCAGTAGCAAGTCCTGAATACCTGAAGTACATGACCAAGCTCTTCCATATTTTTTTTTCTTTTTTTTTTTTTCTTACAAGAATAGCCAAAGTCCTAACCGTTCTCCAGGCAACTGATTTATTTTTCATAAAAGGGTTAAGGCAAAATGCAAAACAAGTTAAAAATTTCAAAACTGAAATTCAAAAGTAAGTACAACGTATTGTTAGAGACATGATCCATTTCATTTTCATTTAAATAAGATGCCCAATGATACACATTTCAGAGTAGGATTTAATGCATGAAACGTTACACCTAGAGTCATGATTACCATAACAGGTCCTTCTGTCCCATGATAAGCTCAGTTCGGGGTCAGGACATTCACATTTGAAATCTCCCTCTGTGTTTACACACTTGTGACTGCAACCTCCATTTAGAACCTCACACTCGTTAATGTCTGGAAAATTGAATTATTCAGTTTCATTAGATTATATTTTCGAAGTCTGAACAAAAAAATTGACTTACTACAAATGAACATTATCATTATCACTTCACCATCATGATGACGATCACTATTACTTTCACTATCACTATCACTATCACTATCACGATCATTTCTCTATGCGTGTGCTTTGAAACGAGGGTGATCGATAGTATATTGACATAGAGAGGAGACTGCTTGGCAAAACTGAACTAACAAAAATGGCGTTCACGGCTATTCGAAGAAAAAGTTGCTGAACTTCTGACTAAAACTGAACGGAATAAATTTGAATTTACGAAAAACATATTCCTCGCTTGAAATACTTGAGGGGATTATGTGCTGTCATGGAATGTTTTAGCAGCTTTTTTGACCAGTATAGATAATCCTCATAATTCATCATAAAAATTCAAATTACCATGTCTGCAATCTACAGTGGCTCTTCGTTCATTATTTTCAGTGTGATGTAAATTTAAGCCGATCAAATGATAAAGGAATGATGCCGCTTATAACTAACAGTTTTATGGACGTTTTAGTTGTCTTATTGCTGTGAAATTATCTTGAAATTACTCAACAAAGCACCAAGTAATGTTAAACAAACAAACAAACAAACTAACAAGGCAACCGTACCCTGATCCCATAACTCACCGATACATATAACCGTGTCATCTTCGGTCCACACGCCACGTAATCCGCATTGTGTAGAAGACGGGCCTTCCAGTTTGTATCCCTGTGGGCATGAAAACGAGCATATTGCGCTGATATCCATTGGTGACGTCACGCAGCTCTTCGGTGATGTTTGGACGAGGCGACTAACATTTAGCGCTGGACATTTTATAGCTGGCGACAAAAAACAGTCATGGTAAAAGATGAGGAACTCTTGGACACTTTTAGGGCCTGTTTACATGGAAGTGGGGGACCCCAGGTAGGTGAGATAACCCGCTTAGGTGGGGTAAAAAATAACCCTCGTAAATACACGTAATCTTACAACCCCGCCACCCCGGGGTGCACATTTTCAAGATTATTGAATGGTCGCTAAGCACGCAAACAAGAAAATGCTGGCAAACCTCGTGTTTTAGCGATAAATGCTCTTCTACACTCACGTGCTGCTCTTGCGGCAACCTTCAGTTCTGTGGATTTCTATTGCTACCTTTAATAATGATGCAAAGCCAACGCTAAAATGAATTTTGCTCGAATTTGATGTATTGCGAGTCCGACCCCGGCTAGGCGGGTTACCCCACCTTGAAACGTTTACATGGCAAAATTTGACCCCGGCTGAGAGGGCTACCCGGTCTGTCAGACCGGGCTACCCGCCTAGGCGGGTCACCCCACCTATCATGTAAACGAGATCTAAGTAAAATGAGAGATTATATGGACAGGCGGGTTACCCCACCTAAGCGGGTTACCTGGGGTTCCCCACCTCCATGTAAACAAGCCCTTAGAAAATAGAGAAGTCGTGATATAGTGGGCTATCGAATAAAAGTCAAATATGAAAGTTGAAAACGGACAATTCCACGGCGACATTCCCGCATGTCCTTACGACTGTAATTAACACTCTCCCTTAGTTTCCTTGGCTAGTTAATTTGAACAGTTTGTGTAATTTTCAGCTCGTTGCAAGCAAAGAATGAGTGCCCATTCATTGTTTGTTAAGCTTCGAGTATTCTTCTAAGGTTGTTTCTCCCAAACTATTCGGTATATCGGGCTCAAGTTGTCACAGATAAATGAAATGCTTTTTCCGATATTCAGAGAGTTTATTTTTATTAATGCTTGATCAGAGAATGAAAGGCATATGTCAATGAGGGAAAATCGTAAACAAAGAATAGCCCAAAGACCAAACTCGGAAAATATATGGATATAACATTAAGCAAGTTTTAGACGCCTTTGTTCCTTCAGTTAATAGTAATAAGTTTCCATCTAAACGCGGAAAAAGTGACGATAAATTATTATTTAATTGGCTGCAATCGTGACATGTTTGGCAGTCAACCATTTGAATTTGCTGAAGGGCGTGTAATTCGGTTCAAAAGGCATAGGCATCATTGTCTTTCGTTTCCCCCTGGGTGAAAAAACGGTGCTGGACAGTTCTATCTGAGCACCGTAAATACCTGGTGTTGTTGTTGTTGGAGGTAGTGTCGTTGTTGGCGGTGCAGGTGTTCCTGTAAAGAAAATGTATGCAAAAATAATATAACCTTTTCAAGCGTTCAGAATTATCACCGTGGTGATACAAAAACTTTAAAAATAACTATAAACAGAACGTTTCAATTATTAAAGTCTTTGCTAATTTTGAAGTTTACAACGTCCTTTTTTTTTCGTCAAAGATCATCGTTTATCGATTTACCATTTACTCTTTGCTTTTTAAGTTAACACGGTATTACATTGAACTCGCAATACGTTCATCAGCAATGCTTTCTGTCGGGGCTTTTTTTATAGATATTACCATAATGTCATAGGCGACGAATTACTCCTTAATTTTGGCGCGAAATCTCAGCGTTAATTTGTAATTTCACATGGCAACCTTCCCTATGTCTCAGTGTCAAGATGGCGACGAAGTTTTAAAATGCCGTGAATGAAGATGCCAGGGAACAAAAACAAGCTTCAGAAAACCTCAACACACGAAAGAGCACATCAAGAAGGATTCTAATAGGTATTTTGTCTGAACTTGAGCCGAATTTAAGAGAGAGTGGAGTTCTCGTCTATATAATCCAGGATAAACAGGTCAGAAATTCACGATTGCTAACGTAATTCGTCACTCATGATATTAATAGGTAATCAAATGGTATACTCGTGAAATTAGGAAATAATTTCACTTGCGTTTTGTCCAAATACTAATAATTTCCAGAGCCTTTAGGCAAAACGCGCGTGAAATTAATCCCTAATTTCCGCTCGTCACCATTTGATTACACATACTTATTTCCACATCTCGCTGACCAAATCAGACTAAAACTCCTAAGATCCTCCCTTCACAAAACATTTGCGGTGCAAACACGTCGCCATGTTCTTCAATTTGATCCTCCCTTCACAATAGGGAGACATCTGCAATGTCAAGTTATCGATCAAGATATCATTAAATTTCAGTTACAGAGGAAAAACCGAACAGCTCACCTTCATTACTACCGCAGTAACGCAACCAACACTCAGGAGTCTTAACTAGCCGGTAAACATAGAAAGCGCCACAGTTTTGGATCTGAATATCGTTTTTCCAGTTGCAACAGTTGGAATTCCAGTGATAACAAACTCGACGAGTGACAATGCCTTCCTCCACCGATGGGTGTGAACCGTTCAGCCAACCTGTAGCATGAGTACCACAACGATTTTTTGGTACACAGGATGTTGGCATTCTGTCTCCAGCTGCACCAGTGAAGCGATACCAGGCTGGTAAAGGACTCAGGTGTCTCTGGTCGCATCGCAAGTTCTTTTGATCTTTATTTGCCACGTTACGGTTAAAACCGTCGAGAATGCCATAGTTTGTGCATGGATCTATTGCTAAAGAAGAAGAAAAAGGAAGTTAATTCGGATCACTTAAAGCAACAACACTGAAAATTATAAGTTAAAAAGCTGTTATAATGACTAGAATTTAAAAATGAAAACAAAAGCGAAAACTAACGAACTAAATTTATGAACATTGTAGGGATGTCGACTTTTGACATTTTCAAGAAATGATTTTTTTTTTGCTCCTTTCAGTGTCCAGAACTATTTGGAGACTCTCCGTATCAAATACAAATTTCTACGTGATGGCTTTTAATAAGGAGTTTACTATTAGCTACCAAAAAAAACTTATCTTGGATCAGAGAGGTGCGAACCTACCCTAACTTTAAAAGATCTGGTCTACTAGCCCAAAGGTTGGTGGAGCCGTTTCGTGAGTAAAATACAGTTTTCCATTTTTTTTTCTGTCTTTGTGGGGAGTTGTCGTATTAGGCCCCTTTAATCAAGGCCAATACATTCCAATAATTAAGGGATTAATTTGGAAATTTTTTTAAAATAGCCTGATGGACTTAAATGATTCCCTTATTGATTCCCCCTTGAGCAAAGCCAGAGAAAGAGCTTTCATGGAAACTCGTTCTTCAAATGCGTTACAAAAATATGTTCGTGCTTCTAAAAACTTATAGTGGCGACAGGACTGTTTCTGCGAGACTAATTGCATGTTTTCATACCTGGTGTTGTTGTTGGTGGAGGTAATGTCGTTGTTGGTGGTGCAGGTGTTCCTGTAAAGAGTTTAGATACAAGCATATCATATTCAAACAGTAAATGTTATAGTAGTGCGTCTGAAAATTTCAAAGTAACTAGTCACTAGCTAGTCAGCACTTGTGAACAGTCCCGTTTAATGGTGAGTTCTCTCTATACTTGCACTGTAAATAAAAAGATCTGTTTCAGCCCCAAAGTGTCAATTCAGCCCTGCAGACCAAAGTCTGATTCAGCCCTTCTTGGAGCCATTTGAGCACAATTTAGGCCAAAAAAGCTCTATCAAAAGGCTATTCCAGCCCACGGTAGGGCCCATTTCAGCCCTGGGACCAAATCAGCCCTAGCTAATTGGACTGTATTGGCCCTGATTTAAGGGAGCCAAATTAGACCCAAAAATAGGACTGTATTTTACTCACCGAAACGGCCCTGTTTTTAGGGCTAAAACAGATCTTTCTGATATAGAGTGTGTAATGTTAAATGTTCTTGTCATTTTTATAATTTGTTGTGGAAGGGAAGCCCGACTGCTTCAATCGTCCTGAATATTGAATGGGTGTAATTTGCCTTGAAAGCGGATTGTTCTGTAAAACAGCAGAATTATAAGTAATTTTCTCTGAGGTCTAAACGTTAAACAAATTAAACTGCGCCTGATAGTTCTGTTTACCTCGGAGGTAATGTAAAAAGGCTGGTTCCGGCGCTACCAGCACCAGATTTGTAAAAACTTGTAGCGTACAAGAAAAATCCGGCCTGATTCAGTTTTCATAATGGCCTTTCTTTTAGACAAAGAGATAAAAAAGATAAGTTATACTGCGTGCAAATTTGCTGCCACCGAGGACTATCGTGTCTTAACGGCCCTTGTAGTATATAATTATATTTCTGGACTGTCCACTAAAGGACTATGACTTTTGACATTTTCAAGAAATGATTTTTTTTGCCTCTTGATTGCCTCTTGAGCAGGCCAGAGAAAGAGCTTTCATGGAAGTTCGCTCTTTTAAAGCATTACGAAAATATGTTCGTGCTCCTACAAATTTATAGTGGCGACAGTAGACAACTTTTCTTGTCCTTAATAATAATAATAATAATAATAATAATAATAATAATAATAATAATAACAATAATAATAATAACAATAATAATAATAATAATAATAATAATAATAATACTGGAGTGCAATATTACTTCTGCCAGACTAATTCCATGTTTTCATACCTGGTGTCGTTGTTGGTGGTGCAGGTGCTCCTGTAAAGAATATACACGCAAGCGTTTAAATGTTAAGTGTTATTATTGTAATGCTTCTCAAAACTTCAAAACAACTATAGTAAGAGCATTTTGCGATTAATGATAGTCTTTGTTTATTAAGACTCTTGACTTCGCAAATTGTGTTTTCGCCAGAGGCCTTTGAACTCGGCTTTGTTTATCAACTAATCATGATTATCACACTTTGCTATTTAGTTAACATGGTTAAAACATTTTACCAAGGAAATTTAAACTGCGTGATATATGACTTGTGTAGCAATTCCAATACCGTAGAAGGCTCCCTTAGAGGTATCTCCATAGTACCCTCACCTCGTTATTACGGACCGCCTTCTTGTTTCCAAAAATAGCAAACCTCACAATTCAAGTTCCTCCTTTTTTGAGAGGGAGACGTTTGTAATACGAACATAAAGTTAATGCCCGTTTTAAGTAGATATTGGTTATCGATCAAGATCTTTTACAAATCAGTCAGAATGACAAAAACATAAAACTCACCTTCATTATTACCGCAGTAACGCAACCAACACCCAGGAGTCTTAACTAACCGGTAAACATAGAAAGCTCCACAGTTTTGGATCTGAATATCGTTTTTCCAGTTGCAACAGTTGGAATTCCAGTGATAACAAACTCGACGAGTGACAATGCCTTCCTCCACTGATGGGTGTGAACCGTTCAGCCAACCTGTAGCATGAGTACCACAACGATTTTTTGGTACACAGGATGTTGGCATTCTCTCTCCAGCTGCACCAGTGAAGCGATACCAGGCTGGCAAAGGACTCAGGTGTCTCTGGTCGCATCGCAAGTTCTTTTGATCTTTATTTGCCACGCTACGGTTAAAACCGTCGAGAATGCCATAGTTTGTGCATGGATCTATTGCTAAAGAAGAAGAAAAAGGATGTTAATTCGGATCACTTCAAGCAACAACACTGAAAATTATAAGTTAAAAAGCTGTTATAATGACTAGAATTTAAAAATGAAAACAAAAGCAAAAACTAACGAACTAAATTTATTAACATTGTAGGGATGTCGTTGGATGGAACATACACTAGGATGCTGCGAAAAGCTTTAAACATCCACTGGAGCAGCCACATACCAAAGCAGCAAATGTACGGAGATCTACCAGCAGTCACCAACAAAGTCGCCTCTCGTAGGCTACAACTTGCGGGACACTGTTATCGCCATCCAGAGCTAAGTACCCAGAAATTAGTCCTATGGGAGCCCACACATGGTCATCGCGGGAGAGGAAGACCGAATACTACCTATATTGACACTCTTAAGAGGGATACTGAGGCATTCGAAGCAAGTGAGATTGCTGTACTGATGGCTGATAAGAGGCTGTGGAAAGATCTAGTGGTTGCCCTCCTTCGGGCGACCAAGTGAGTGAGTGAGTGAGGGATGTCGACTTTTGACATTTTCAAGAAATGATTTTTTTTTGGCTCCTTTCAGTATCCCGAACTATTTGGAAACTCTCCGTATCAAATACAAATTTCTACGTGATGGCTTTTAAGGAGTGTACTATTAGCTACCAAAAAATACTTCTCTTGGATCAGAGAGGTGCGAACCTATCCTAAATTTAAACGATCTGGTCTACTAGCCCAAAAGCTGGTGGAGCCGTTTCGGTGAGTAAAATACAGGTTTCCCATTTTTTTTTTTTTTTTTTTTTTTTTTTGTAGAGAGTTTTTGTATTAGGCCCCTTTAATCAAGGCCAATAAATTCCAATAATTAAGGGATTAATTCGGCAAATTTTCTAAAATAGCCTGATGGACTTAAATGATTCCCTTGATTCCCCCTTGAGCAAAGCCAGAGAAAGAGCTTTGATGGAAACTCGTTCTTCAAATGCATTACAAAAATATGTTCGTGCTTCTAAAAACTTAGAGTGGCGACAGTACTGTTTCTGCGAGACTAATTGGATGTTTTCATACCTGGTGTTGTTGTTGGTGGAGGTAATGTCGTTGTTGGTGGTACAGGTGTTCCTGTAAAGAGTTTACATACAAGCATATCATATTCAAACAGTAAGTGTTATAGTAGTGCGTCTGAAAATTTCAAAGTAACTAGTCACTACCAAGTCAGCACCAGTGAACAGTCCCGTTTAATGGTGAGTTCTCTCTATACTTGTAATGTTAAATGTTCTTGCCATTTTTATAATTTGTCGTGGAAGGAAAGCCCAACTACATTAATCGTCCTGAATATTGAATGGGTGTAATTTTTCTTGTAAGCGGATTGCTCTGTAAAACTGCAGAATTATAAGTAATTTTCTCTCAGGTCTGAACGATAAACAAACATCGCCTGATAGTTCTGTTTACCTCGGAGGTAGTGTAAAAAGGCTGGTTTCGGCGCTACCAGCACCAGATTTGTAAAAACTTGTAGCGTACAAGAAAAATCCGGCCTGATTCAGTTTTCATAGTGGCCTTTCTTTTAGACAGAGAGATAAAAAGGATAAGTTATACTGCGTGCAAATTGGCTGCCACCGAGGACTATCGTGTCTTAACAGCCCTTGTAGTATATAATTATATTTCTGGACTGTCCACTGAGGGACTATGACTTTTGACATTTTCAAGAAATAATTTTTTTTGCCTCTTGATTGCCTCTTGAGCAGGCCAGAGAAAGAGCTTTCATGGAAGTTCGCTCTTTTAAAGCATTACGAAAATATGTTCGTGCTCCTACAAATTTATAGTGGCGACAGTAGACAACTTTTCTTGTCCTTAATAATAATGATAATAATAATAATAATGATAATAATAATAATAATAATAATAATAATAATAATAATAATAATAATAATAATAATAATAATAATAATACTGGAGTGCAATATTACTTCTGCCAGACTAATTCCATGTTTTCATACCTGGTGTCGTTGTTGGTGGTGCAGGTGCTCCTGTAAAGAATATACACGCAAGCGTTTAAATGTTAAGTGTTATTATTGTAATGCTTCTCAAAACTTCAAAACAACTATAGTAAGAGCATTTTGCGATTAATGATAGTCTTTGTTTATTAGGACTCTTGACTTCGCAAATTGTGTTTTCGCCAGAGGCCTTTGAACTCGGCTTTGTTTATCAACTAATCATGATTATCACACTTTGCTATTTAGTTAACATGGTTAAAACATTTTACCAAGGAAATTTAAACTGCGTGATATATGACTTGTGTAGCAATTCCAATACCGTAGAAGGCTCCCTTAGAGGTATCTCCATAGTACCCTCACCTCGTTATTACGGACCGCCTTCTTGTTTCCAAAAATAGCAAACCTCACAATTCAAGTTTCTCCCTTTTTTAATAGGGAGACGTTTGTAATACGGACATAAAGTTAATGCCCGTTTTAAGTAGATATTGGTTATCGATCAAGATCTTTTACAATTCAGTCAGAAGGTGAAAAAAATAAAACTCACCTTCATTGTTACCGCAGTAACGCAACCAACACACGGGAGTCTTAACTAACCGGTAAACATAGAAAGCTCCACAGTTTTGGATCTGAATATCGTTTTTCCAGTTGCAACAGTTGGAATTCCAGTGATAACAAACTCGACGAGTGACAATGCCTTCCTCCACTGATGGGTGTGAACCGTTCAACCAACCCGTAGCATGAGTACCACAACGATTTTTTGGTACACAGGATGTTGGCATTCTCTCTCCAGCTGCACCAGTGAAGCGATACCAGGCTGGTAAAGGACTCAGGTGTCTCTGGTCGCATTTCAAGTTCTTTTGATCTTTATTTGCCACACTACGGTTAAAACCGTCGAGAATGCCATAGTTTCTGCATGGACCTATTGCTGAAGAGGTAGAGTAAAAGGTGTTAATTCAGATCCGGCACTTTAATTAATATAAACAAAGAGGAAAAAAATTACAAGTTAAAAGCGGTTAAATTGACTAGAATTAATTTAAAAAGGAAATCAAAAACAAAAGCTAACGAACTAAATTTATTAACATTTTAGAGACGGCGACTTTTAACATTTTCAAGAAATGGTTTTGTTTGCCCTTTCAGAGGCACCCAACGAGAATATAGTTCAAAACCACTTAAACATAGCATTGTTGAATGTATTTTAGTATTTAAACGGCAGATATTGGCATATATTTGTCCCCTAAAATTTTTGATCTGTTCGGATTTCCTAGCTGAAAGTCTAGTGATCCGAAATTATAGGGATCAAAACTTACATTTTCAAAAATTTCAGCCAGAAAAAAGCTCCCGAAAATTCTAGGTGACCTTTTTTGGGTAAAAATCCGTTAAAAATGGGCAATTATACCATTTTTTAGATGTTCGAGAATCCTAGGAGAGGCAGGCAAGCAAGAAATTTTACAACAAATGTTCTGAAAATTCTAGATCTCAAATCGTCTACCGAACAGATATTTTCCAAAAATTGTCCTTGGGGGCCCCTGCCCTTTGAGTGCCCCTTGACCAGGGCAAGAGAAAGAGCTTTCATGGAAAATCGTTGTTTTAAAGCATTACACAAATACGTTCGTCCTTCTACAAATTTATAGTGGTGACAGTGGACAACTTTTTATTTCCTTAAAAATTACTGGTGTGTATGTAATATTGTTCTGCCAGACTATAATTCCATGTTTTCATACCTGGTGTTGTTGGTGGTGGAGGTAATGTCGTTGTTGGTGGTGCAGGTTTTCCTGTAAAGAATATACATAAGAGCGTTCAAATATTTAGTGTTATTATTGCAGTGCTTCTCAAAACTTCAAAACAACTATAGTAAGAGCTTTTTGCGATTAATGATAGTCTTTGTTTATTAGGACCCTTGACTTTGCAAATTGTGTTTTCGCCAGAGGTCTTTGCGGTCTTTGTTTATCAACTAATCATGATTATAGCTCTTTGCTATTTTAGCTAACATCGTTAGAACATTTTACCAATAAAATTTAATCTGCGTGATGTATAAGGCTCCCTTAGAGGTATTTCCATAATACCGACACCTCGCCACTATCACGGACAGTCTTCTTAACTGTTTCCCCAAATAGCAAGCCTCACAAGTTCCTCCTTTTTTGAGAGGGAGACTTTTGGAATACGAACATAAAGTTAATGCTCGTTTTCAGAGTAGATATTGGTTATTGATCAAGATCTTTTACAATTCAGTCAGAAGGTGAAAAACATAAAACTCACCTTCATTATTACCGCAGTAACGCAACCAACACACGGGAGTCTTAACTAACCGGTACACATAGAAAGGGCCACAGTTTTTGATCTGAATATCGTTTTTCCAGTTGCAACAGTTGGAATTCCAGTGATAACAAACTCGACGAGTGACAATGCCTTCCTCCACTGATGGGTGTGAACCGTTCAACCAACCCGTAGCATGAGTACCACAACGATTTTTGGTACACAGGATGTTGGCATTCTGTCTCCAGCTCCGCCAGTGAAGCGATACCAGGCTGGTAAAGGACTCAGGTGTCTCTGGTCGCATTGCAAGTTCTTTTGATCTTTATTTGCCACACTGCGGTTAAAACCGTCGAGAATGCCATAGTTTCTACATGGATCTATTGCTAAAGAAGAAGAGTAAGTTAAAAAGCTGTTATAATGCAGTGACTGAAATTTCAAAATGAAAACAAAAACAAAAACTAACGAACTAAATTTATTAACAGTGTAGGGATGTCGACTTTTGACATTTTCAAGAAATGCAGCTGAAGAAATGATTTTTTTTTTTGCTCCTTTCAGTGTGCCGAACTATTTGGAGACTCTCCGTATCAAATACAAATTTCTACGTGATGGCTTTTAATAAGGAGTGTACTATTAGCTACCAAAAAAAAACTTCTCTTGGATCAGAGAGGTGCGAACCTACCCTAAATGTAAAAGATCTGGTCTACTAGCCCAAAAGCTGGTGGAGCCGTTTCGGTGAGTAAAATACAGGTTTTCCATTTTTTTTTTTTTATTATTATTTTTTATTTGTGGGGAGTTTTCGTATTAGGCCCCTTTAATCAAGGCCAATAAATTCCAATAATTAAGGGATTAATTCGGCAAATTTTCTAAAATAGCCTGATGGACTTAAATGATTCCCTTGATTCCCCCTTGAGCAAAGCCAGAGAAAGAGCTTTGATGGAAACTCGTTCTTCAAATGCATTACAAAAACATGTTCGTGCTTCTAAAAACTTAGAGTGGCGACAGTACTGTTTCTGCGAGACTAATTGCACGTTTTCATACCTGGTGTTGTTGTTGGTGGAGGTAATGTCGTTGTTGGTGGTGCAGGTGTTCCTGTAAAGAGTTTACATACAAGCATGTCATATCCAAACAGTAAGTGTTATAGTAGTGCGTCTGAAAATTTCAAGTAACTAGTCACTAGCTAGTCAGCACTAGTGAACAGTCCCGTTTAATGGTGAGTTCTCTCTATACTTGTAATGTTAAATGTTCTTGCCATTTTATAATTTGTTGTGGAAGGGAAGCCCGACTGCTTAGATCGTCCTGAATATTGAATGGGTGTAATTTGTCTTGTAAGCGGATGGTTCTGTAAAACTGCAGAATTATAGGTAATTTTCTCTGAGGTCTGAACGATAAACAAACAGCGCCTGATAGTTCTGTTTACCTCGGAGGTAGTGTAAAAAGGCTGGTTTCCGCGCTACCAGCACCAGATTTTTAATAAATTGTAGCGTACAAAGAAAAATCCGGCCTGATTCAGTTTTCATTTTGGCCTTCTTTTAAACAGAGAGATAACAAAGATAAGTTATACTGCGTGCAAATTGGCTGCCACCGAAGGACTATCTTGTCTTAACGGCCTTTGTAGTATAAAATTATATTTCGGGACTGTCCACTGAGGGACTATGACTTTTGACATTTTCAAGAAATGAACTTTTTTGCCCCTTGATTGCCTCTTGAGCGGGCCAGAGAAAGAGCTTTCTTGGAAGTTCGTTGTTTTAAAGCATTACAAAATATGTTAGACAACTTTTCTTGTCCTTAATGATAATAATACTGGAGTGTAATATTGTTTCTGCCAGACTAATTCCACGTTTTCATACCTGGTGTCGTTGTTGGTGGTGCAGGTGTTCCTGTAAAGAATATACATACAAGCGTTCAAATATTAAGTGTTATTATTGTAGTGCTTCTCAAAACTTCAAAACAACTATAGTAAGAGCATTTTGCGATTAATGATAGTCTTTGTTTATTAGGACCCTTGACTTTTTGCAAATTGTGTTTTCGCCAGAGGCCTTTGAGGTCTTTGTTTATCAACTAATCACGATTATCACTCTTTGCTATTTTAGTTAACATGGTTAGAACATTTTACCAATAAAATTTAATCTGCGTGATGTATAAGGCTCCGTTAGAGGTATCTCCATAATACCGACACCTCGCCACTATCACGGACAGTCTTCTTAACTGTTTCCAATAGCAAGCCTCACAAGTTCCTCCTTTTTTGAGAGGGAGACTTTTGGAATACGAACATAAAGTTAATGCTCGTTTTCAGAGTAGATATTGGTTATTGATCAAGATCTTTTACAATTCAGTCAGAAGGTGAAAAACATAAAACTCACCTTCATTATTACCGCAGTAACGCAACCAACACACGGGAGTCTTAACTAACCGGTAAACATAGAAAGGGCCACAGTTTTGGATCTGAATATCGTTTTTCCAGTTGCAACAGTTGGAATTCCAGTGATAACAAACTCGACGAGTAACAATGCCTTCCTCCACTGATGGGTGTGAACCGTTCAACCAACCCGTAGCATGAGTACCACAACGATTTTTTGGTACACAGGATGTTGGCATTCTGTCTCCAGCTCCGCCAGTGAAGCGATACCAGGCTGGCAAAGGACTCAGGTGATTCTGGTCACAGCTCAAGTTCTTCTGATCTTTATTTGCCACACTGCGGTTAAAACCGTCGAGAATGCCATAGTTTGTGCATGGATTTTGTGCTGAAGAGGAACAGTGAAAACTTTAATTCAGACTAAAGTGAAACTCTATTAAGAGGACACCTTCAGGACCTTCCCAAGTGTCCGCTTAATAGAAGTTGTAAAAGTTGCAAATGTTTATTAATGATCAGCTGTAAACGGTTACTCTGTAGTGTGATAAAGTTGCATGTTGTTAAAGAAGCTATTAGAGATCAAGTTCATTACCTTTCGTTACCAACTTTGATTTGTTTGTAAATGCAAAAACATTTACTGATTTTAGTACGTATATTTCAAGGACGGAATCCA